CAAGATCATGCAGACTAAATTCTAGAACAAGAAATGGTAAGCTGTGGCCTCTGGGCCAAATCTGGCCCACAGCCTGTGTTTGTAAATAAAGTTTTATTGGTATATAGCCACGCCCATTTGTTTATGTGCTGTTCATGGTCGCTCCCAAGCCAGAGGTGAGCGACTGTAATAGAGGCTGCATAGCCCACAAAGCCTAAAATATTTACTATCTGGCCCTTTACAGAAAAAGTTTGCTGCCCCTCCCCCCACCTTAGACTGTTACTCTTAACTCTTTTTATTACCATCAACCCATTTTTCCCAGTTCAGTAAAATCCATGGACCCTTTCTCAGAATGATGCTAAAGTGTACAAAGTAAACTAAAAATTAGTAGGAATACAGAAAAAATCCATTATATTCAAATAGTTATTAAAGAATTAAAAGAAAAAATTGTGAGATGGCACTGTATGTGTTTTATCAATGTATTAAATAATAAGATCCAATGGCGGGTCTAGTAACTACCATCGTTTCTAAATAGAGAGGCGCCTGAAAGAAATTCCGATCTGTCTGCGACAACTGTTATGGAGAGGTCTGTGGTTTCTACTGGCAACAAGTTCCCCGCACTGCTATCCGAATGGCTGCCGATTTTTGTAACTGAAGGACACGTCACATTTCAGTACAGGTTAGTGAAAATAAAGATGTAAAATTTCCCCCATCCAACTTCACAGACCTCCTAAATTCTATGAATGGATCCCTGGGTGGAGGTTTCTATACTAGGAGTATGGAATCTCTGCTCCAGAATGCTTTACTAGGCTTTCCGGTTCCATCCCTGCCCAAAGTAGTGACAATGTTTCTGCTTTTTTAAAAGAGGAATGAGAGCCCGGCTGGTGTGGCTCAGAGGTTGAGCATCGACCCATGGACTGAGAGGTCGCTGGTTCGATTCCCGGTCAGGGCACATGCTCAGGGTGTGGGCCCGATCCCCAGTGGGGGGCATGCAGGAGGCGGCCAATTGATGTTCTCTCTCATCCATGTTTCTAACTCTCTCCTTCTTCCTTCCTCTCTCCCTAAAATCAATAAAGAAAAATAAAATAAAATAAAAAAGAGCAATCAGCAGAGGTAAAACCGAGAAAAAGCAAATAACCAAACCTCACAGAACTTAACAACGCTTTTGACATGAAGGGCAAAAGTTTTTATTTTATTTTTAATCCTTACCCGAGGATATTTTTCTATTTCTCTTCAGATAGAGTGGGAAGAAGGGACAGAGGGAGAGGGGGAGAGAGAGAAGGAGGGAGGGAGAGAGAGAGAGAAACATCGATGTGAGAGAGTCACACCGACTGGCTGCCTCCTGCACCACCTGACCTGGGCCGGGGACGAACCACAACTGAAGTACGTGTTCTTGAACAGAATCGAACTTGCGACTCACTGGTCCAAGGGCCGACACTCTAACCGCTGAGCCGAACCGGCCAGGGCCATAGCGTTATTTCTGAAATGAGGCGTGCCAGGCAGTAACGGTCCCACCGGACCACATGCTCTTCGTTCCTGGCTGCTCCCTGGTCCGTGTCCAGTAGGCAGAGGGGACCTAATGGATGTTGCTGAATGAACAAGTGTCGGATACATGTAAGCGAACGGATCTTTCTTGAGTTTAGATTGCTCCCCAGACGACTGACAACGTAGTCATCAGAGCGAAGGAAGGGGAAACACAAGAACCTATTCATTTTACAACGTGTAAAATTTTCTACGTGCCGCAGACTTAAAAAGGGGACATGAACATTTGACGAAGACAAGGCATAAAGGGAACACGTTCAGATTTTTAGAAAATACACCTTTTCTGGACCAAAGGTAAGATGCTATTATACATGGTAAGTTTCTCCCTCTAAGTCAAAATGATTCTGAACCATTTCCACAACGAGCCCTTCAGTTCCTCTAACTCAGGTTGGGGGTTTCTGAAGAAAATCAACTGGACATCAGTTATGTTAATGTCCTAACGTTCTACAGCAGATCACAGAAATGTCCCCAAATATCCCTGCAGCCATGGCCTCTGCTGGGTGTGTCATGCACGCTGTCCTGAACGGGGCAGGATGACCTTCCATGACCTCAGATCACAGGACCCACCAGGCCATCAGACTGTGTGGACTTGACACAGTAACGGCTTGAGCTGGGCTCGTGCCCTGGGGGCTGCTCGCTTGCATGTCCGTCTTCCATCGCCATGAGAAGGTCAAGCCTGGCCTCGCCCGCTGGTCCCAGGAGGAGGATGACAGGTACATGGAGCAGAGCTGGAGCACGGCGGTCAGGACACTGGACAGCCAGGCCACAGTCAGCCGAGTCCAAGACCAGCAGAGGTGTCCCCATGACACCCAGCCGATCCCTGACGTGGCATGTTGTTGTAGCCACTGAGGTTTTGTGGGGTTTTTGTCACCCTGCATTATTGTGACAACAGATAACTGATACAGAGATTAGTGTCGGAAAAAGGAGAGTTGCCACAACAGACAACTAAGTTACGCAGCCCTGGCTTTCGGACCGGCTGCCTGGACGCCACGTGGCGGCACACAGCTGATCGAGCTGTCACGCACGGTGACTGGAAAGTACACCCGTGGAACTGGGACGGGACCAGAGAGCTGAGTTCCAGGCAGAACACTGAAACGGTCTCACACGCTGCATGGGAGAAGCGACCGCAAGAAAGAGACAAACATAAAAGAACTGGCCGTTGTCTACATGGAACTTAGAATATAGAAAATCAGAGATGTGCTGGGTTGGATAAGGACTCTCCTCTCCAGCCAGCAAAAGATTTTCAAAGTAAGAAAACACCCAGACGACAAAGACCCTCTCCAGCGAGCTGATCTCGCGGGAGAATGAATGAGAAAGGAAGGGTAAGAGAGCAAGGCTCTCGGTTACAATCTCCAGCAATGACGCTGGTGCAGGTGGATTCTCTCAGCTGGACGAGGATCCCGAGACGTCTCAAGGGATTCAACCCACAGAAAGTTATACACCAAGAGGACCTGTAGTGGGGTTCGGAGGGAAGGCAAGTCTCCGAAAGAACGGAGGGTGTGGCTTCCCGCACACAGATACACAGGAAACTCACAGTTTTTATGATAGCTCTACCAGCAAAGTTCTCATGGTGGGTTGGTCGGTCTGCCACCAACCTAGACTAAAAATCTAAAAGGTTGCCCCAATGTTCAGTAGGACGCGGACGGAGGGTCTCTCAGAGGTACGCTGTCCACTCTTTTTCAGCAGCAGCTAAGGAAGGTGCGGGAAGGGATGCTCCAGTGGACAGTCAAGAACCAGGGAGCTAGGCCAGAGCTAGTCAAGAAGCATTCCCTGTCCACAGAGGGGGGACCTGGGACCCTGTCAGAGGGACTTCAGAAATGTGTGACTGCCAAATGCTTACCCTTCCCAAAAGCAGGGTTATTAATATTATTATTATTATCATTATTTTTACTTTATTGATTTTCCAGAAAGAGGAAGGGAGAGGGAGAGAGAGATAGAAACATCAATGAGAGAGAACATCGATTGGCCGCCTCCTGCACGCCCCCCACTGGGGATCGGGCCCACAACCTGGGCATGTGCCCTGACTGGGAATCAAACCGGCAACGTCTTGGTGCAGGGCCGACGCTCAACCACTGAGCCACACCGGATGGGTCCAACAGCAGGTTACTGCAATTGTCCTGGCTCTGTACACTGGGACTGTGGGGACAAGCAACTTATCTTTTTACTGCAAAGGTCTAGGTCAGTAGGACCCATATGTCCAGACCTGGTGGTCATCAAGGGATCCTGGTCTGTAAGCCTGACCCTGTGATTAGGTGTGACTTGTGGGGGGCTTGGGAGACATCTGCACGTCAGAAAGATGTGAAAGATGGTAGGGTGGACTGCCCTTTGCAAAAACGGCCCCAATTCTTGATCCTTCCTCATACTGCTCTGGCCTTTGCCGTGTAACCTGGTGTGACCTCCTTCTGGGGGTGAGCTCAGCCCCCACTCTTGACATCAGGCCCCACATACAACTTGCTTTAGCCAGTGGGGTACCAGGAGAGGTCTGAAACGGGGCTGCCCATTGGGGCACGCTCACATTGCTGCCACTGTCATCAGCGGGCAAGGCTGGGAGAGCCCACTGGCTCCAGGAGGGGGATGAGAGATATGGAGCAGAGCCAGGCTGCCCAGCCACGGCCAGGGGACACCAGCCTTCCCCCACATGTGGTTCAGCCCAACCGAGATCAACAGAGTAGTCCCCTCTAGCCCCTGCCGACCTGAAGTATGTGAGCAATAAATACTCAGTATGACATGCCACCGAGGTTCTGTGGTGGTTGTCACTCAGCACCACCGTAGCAACAGCTAACGAATGCACTGGCCCAAAGGAAAACACACAGAATTTAAGTTACCCACTCTGCCGAGTTTTCCCATCACTGTAGCAACAGCTAACGAATGCACTGGCCCAAAGGAAAACACACAGAATTTAAGTTACCCACTCTGCCGAGTTTTCCCGTCGAGCTGCCCCACGCTGAACCAACCAGAGTGAAATGACTAACCCATCGCTATGCAGAAACTTGTTCAAAACGCATCGCTGACATCTCTATTTCGTTGAGCACATCCCCTCCATGAAATATTTCACTAGTGAGTAAGTTAGAAAGTTACATAGAACTATGTACATGTAGTATAATTGGATGTTTCCCCCGATTTTACTGAGAAAGGCCCTTCTGGGCAGATGAAAAGCAAAAGGTGATACATGGGATGGCCCAACACCCCCAATTCAGGTACTTACGTTGTGGCTAAATGCTTTTTTTTTTTTTTTTCTTTTTAGCGGGAGGGAGAGAGGGGGAAAAGAGAGAGACACATGGACTGGTCGCCACCCACACGACCCCCACCGGGCCGGGGACAAACTGCAACCGAGGCCCGCGCCCTTGGCGGGAACCGAACCCAGGACTCTCCGGTCCGCAGGCCAGCGCTCCAGCTGCTGAGCCAAACCGGCCGGGCGCTATCTGCTTTAAGGTGCTTGGACCGAGGCACCGGGAGGCGGGCGGAGCACGGGGACTCACCTGTGTGCGAGCGCAGGTGCACGGTGAGCTGGCTGGAGTTGCGGCTGGCGTAGGGGCAGATCTGGCACTTGAAGGGCCGCTCGTCCGAGTGGATCCGCAGGTGCTTGTTGAGGCTGCTGCTGTCGGCGGCGGCGTAGTCACACGTCTTGCACTTGTAGGGCTTCACGCCCGTGTGGCACCGCATGTGCGTCTTCAGCTTGTCCTTCCGGCTGAAGCACTTGCCGCAGACCTCACACTTGTGGGGCTTGTCTCCTGCAAACACACGCGCGGGGCGTCAGGGGGCGCTACGGGCGAGGCGGCTGAGGCCCCCCGCCTTGGAGAGAGCTCCGTGATCCCAAAGGGCACCCAGAGCCCCAGGCCGCGGGAGCCTGGCACAGCGCTGACATCTTGGGGGGGGGGGCGGATATGCTCTCACTGGTATTTTGAAATACACTGAAAATGAATTTCTTCTTAAAAATAGACCGCCACGCCAGTGTTTCGATTATAGTAAGTAGAATGGTGTTCACCGTCCCTCCTATCCATTCTGTTCTTTTCCCCTTTTCACAACAGACAGGCCCTCACACTCAGACCCCTGATGTTGTAGGAGCTTGTGGCTGACCAGCTAAAGACCCCAGTTCTGGGTGCTTGACACTGTGTCTCTTTCCCCTCCTTCCTGCCAGCTGTCACCAAGACGTGGGGGTGAACTGGCAGGTGTGGCCAGGCCAGGGCCGCGCACCTGCCGATGGATGACGTAACATCACGTACTGTGATGGCACAGAAGGAACTTAAACCCCTGTCCCCCCGCCCACAGGACAGACCTGCCCCCTGCCCAGGACCAGCTGCTTCCCTCTGGTCAGCTATGCGATGGAGACACGAAGCTCTGCCTTCCTTTGCTGTGGCCACTTCACCACTGCTCACGAGACGCTCGTCAGCTTGTCACCTGTACATTGTTTGACATCCATATGTCCAACCCCTTTTGTATCTGCGTGCCTGTACTTTTTTTTTTTTTGTACGAAAGGACCTCTTGGCTGACCCCGGTTTAAACACTTCCTTTTGAAAGGCCCTGAGTGGGCTTATTTATTCTCTGAACAGCTGGGATTAGGGTCTTGCTTTCTCATCCAAAGGCAGCACTGCCTCTCCTCCGACTACACCTTCTCGCATCATGACTGTCCACACATGACTTAAGGCTGAAGCATTTCACGTAGAGAGGCCCCGAGAAGTATCGAACCCGTTCCTCGCTTGGCCACTGAAAAGAGTAAAACAGGGACGGATGTACCCACTGACGTGGAAAGGTGTCCGGTGGGAAGTGGGAAACAGAAGCTACAGTGACAGCACACACAATGTTACACCTGCTCTTAGCCCAGAGGCCGAGAAGCGATAGTATATCCAACGCTAACTTAGCAGGAGATGGGAAAATGAAATCGTGTGTGTTTCCAGCTCGGTACGGGCAAGCCAAAATCTAGGAATGAGACACACTAGAAGAGCAAGACTGGGGACTTTGGGGCATTGGATCAGAAGGAGGCGGGATGCACGTCAGGATGGTTCACCTTTGATTTTATAAATCAAATATGTATTTTGGACAAATCCCAAAGAGCTAAGTGCTCCTATCAATTGTCAGCCAAAGCTGATCACTACTATCATAGAATAAACATCTGGCATTGAAGAACACATCTAAAAGTGCATCAACTATTATAATTTCATCCTTAAAAGGTTAATAGTCAAAATAAAAAATCCAGGCACAATAATTTCTCATCATTGTCAGCGGTTAAATGGCTCCTGGGGTCCCGGTCCCGGGCGTTTGCAACACTGAGCAGGTGCTGGCCATTCTTGCTCTCATCCACGTGCTCTTCTCTGAAAGTAACTAAGGTAAGGACACGTTCTTATCGACTCTCCAACTTGAAGATGCTGACGGACCTACTGCAGTTATGTAGAAACACTATCCTACAAACCCAAGCTTGGTCAACGATGCTTTCTGAAGCTTTGCAGACAGAGACGGGAGGCTGTCGCCCTTACTTATGTTTTTATAATGTTCCCCATTCATGTACCCTCTTTAATGATTACAGTGCTGTACTCTTGCAATGGTGACTATGCGCTCGCTGCTCAAATGATGGAACGTCAGTGTGTGAAAGCCACGTGGAGAGATGCACGCCTGGTAACATGGAGAATGCTTGCCCGTACTTACAGCTTAATGACAACATTCTGATCATCAGAATAAATTCAAGTGACACGTCACTGTGAGGTTGATGAGATGTGATGGTGACCCCCTGTACAATAAGGCAATCATCGGCCACGGCCCGGGAATGTCAGAAATAACTGATCTTCCAAAGGCTGAGGCTAAAATGTACACTTGGGGCAATTAACGATGCCCAAGCCAAATTTCAGTGTGTCCCTCCCTTCACACATTTTTCTTTATATGCCTGTATGATTGAATTATGAGCATCTCATACTTTGTTAAAAATAGCGTAAAAGAGCAATTCCTTCTCCGTGCAAAAAATCAGGGACATGTAAAAATAATATATTAAAGAAAATTAAAATCACTAGAAATGATCACATTTTTCTTTTTTCCATGCATCAATGTTTTTCTCTGTTTTAAACAAATTTATTTATTAAATCCCCCCCTCAAATTGCGTAAAGAACACGCTCACTGTATCCAATGATATGGTGTAAAGATACATAAAAGTTACTATTCCTCTTTATTCTTCTTCTTACCAATCACGTCTCTCATGCACACACACACATGCACACGCACACGCACACGCACACACGCCCACCCAGAGACCCATTTATAAGATCATCTCCCCAAATGAGAAAACTAGCGGCATTGAACTTTTAATTAATCCTGGCAGATTAATTTTCAAAACAGCGGTAGCAGTTCACAGTTCCACTAGCTGAGTTTGCTCCTATCTGTTCCAGCCCTGGATTTCAGTGCTTTAAACATTTTCTGCCAAAATCACGTGTAGAAACAGCATCTTGATTTTATTTCATTCGTATTTGCAGTCCACTAAGGTTCTACGTCCTACCATGTGTCTGACCAGTCTGGATCCCCAGCTCCTAGCACAGAGCACATGTTCAGGGCGCAGGTGCCAGAGCAACGCCACTTACCTGTGTGAATTTTTAAATGACGCTCCATGTCCTTCATGCCGTAGGCAGTCTTGAATTGGCAACCTGAAAAAGGCAAGGATGGATTAATTACAGAGGGGCACACAGTACCTGTAGAGTGGAGAGACTTCCTTAGCCAAGTGATGAAAGCTAACCCCAGAGAAACAGGACACGCAGATGTCCCGTGTCCCCTGACAGGATGCACCAAGGTCAGAACATCACGCCTGTGGTTCCTGCTCGAACTGCACAACCTACATCCAGTCCCGAGGGCGCATCAGACCAACCCCGACCGGGGATGTCTCACCAAAGGACGGGCCTGTACTTTGTAAACACGTCAAGGTCACGAAAGAACAGCGGAGGGTAAAGAAAACGCCACGTGAAAACCAAATGCAACGTGTGAGCCCGAACTGGATCTCGGACCAGGGGAAAGATGTTTCTCTTCTGACAGGGAGACAATAGGCGAAATTTTACTACCAAGGTCAGTCGTTTGACAACAGTGTGTAGAAATGTTAATTTCCTGATTTTGATGACTGTCCTGTGGTTACAGAAAAGAATTTCCTTGTCTCTAGGAAATCCACACGGAGGCACTGAGGGGTCAAGGGAGAGCATGTCTGTTTGATGGAAAAAATAGATGTCCGTACAGAGAGAATGACAAAGCACACACAATACGTTAGCATTTGGGAAATCTAGATGGAGGGAATCCAGAACTTTCTGGAACAACTTGTGTCACTTTCCTGTCATTCTGAAGTTATTTCCAAATAAAAAGCGTGTTTGTTTTTTTTTCAAGTAAGTCAAGAAAAGTCTGGATGTCTTCCTAAGGTACAGCACAACATGAAAAATTCACAGTAACCTGAAGTGCTCATCAGTCCCACTTCAAAGTCGCACGGCTGTAAAAGTCTTACGAGCCTGTGTACACGGGGACCCGATAGTGACAGGCAGGCCATGTGGGACGTAAATCCTGGGGGGCTCTGACTCGCGAGCCAGGCAGTTAGGAGCACATCTGTGTGGAGTTGTCAGGACTTAGCACCCCGGAACCTGTGACATGTCACATCCTTTACACACGAGGACACAATGCTGCTTGTACCTGGATAGCAACAGTTCAGTCTTTTCTGAGCAGGAGGGGCCGTGGGCTTTTTGGCACGTGACTTGGCAGGCACAGAGAGGACAGTGGCGGTCTGGTTTTCATTGCTTTCCGTGGGCAGGTACGTTTGATAGCCGTGCTCAAAAACAAATTCTGGAGCTGAAACTAGAAGACAGGATGGTGATTAATTTTCACAATATGAACATCAAACAGCTACTCCTTTGCCTACCTTCCTTTCTAGAGAATGAACAGCTTAGACTGCTTTCCCAGCCTCCCTAGCTGCCTAGGAGTGTTCAAGTGACCCCGTTCCAGCCAGTGAGACACGAGAACACCTGCTGGGGGGGGAGGGGGCTTCTGTAAAAGATTTTCTCCCTGATTAAAACAAAAGCAAAAACAAAAAACAAAAACAAGTGGGGGCAGAAAGGCAGAAAGAGAGACAGTTGAGGAATGCTCATTCTTGCTGCCCTGGCTGCCCCACTTCCTCTCTTTGGACGTGCTGGAGTGAGGATGTGATGCCCGGATCTGTGGCAGCCATTCTATAAACATAAGGGAACAGCAAGGAAATCAGATGTTGAGCTCTGAAACCATCCAAACCTAAGCTTATTAAGTAACCAAGAAATGTCCCTATCATTTACACCAGGTAGGTCTTCTGTTAATTAAGCTAAATGCTTTAGGTACTTTCATAAGCCTTCCCACAAAAATACTAACAAACAACGGGAAAGAAACTGATGGAAGAAATTTTGGGCAAAACGACAAGTTCTCTCAAAAATACTGTTTAACACAAATTTTCCTTAAAAAAAAAAAATTCTTGTACTCTCACTGAAATTTTGAGGAAAAGAGAAAAAAGGGGACTAAATCTCTTTATCATTGTTGAAGGTAAAATAAGTAGTCTCAAATTTCTTTTTGGAGGTGGGGGACTCATAAAACATTGTGTGACTACTTCGTTAACTAAGGTTTGGGATTTGGGAATACTTTCTTCCTTCCTTAATTACATGTTGTCACATGGAGATTTGGCTTTGAATAAGGGGTCAACTTATCTGACCAATGGGGGCTCTCATTGGGTGAACATGTCCGGCCAAGAGGTCCTAATGATGACTGTAAAAGCCACCGTCAGAGTCTGTTTCCCAAATTCGTCATTAAGACATTACCTCAGATATTTTTGCCACTGTATGTACGGAATACACTTACTCAAATCAACGCAGACCTAACATCGTTACCCATTTTGGCTGCGCCTAAAGCAACGCCAGGCCCCAGGTGTGCTGTGGGCTATTTTCTCTTAAAACAAACATCTTCCGTCTTTGAATAGATGTCAGAGATTGTAAGACGTCCCTTTATTTTATACATAACAGAATTTTAAAAGCTGCCACGTAAACACCCTGTGATGCAATGCTTTCGCTTTCCTTATTTCATATCGAGCACTGATACTCCTTAGACATTTTGCATTTCTTGAATGGGCGCTTTTAGACTTCTTGGGTGTCTGGACCGCCACCTCCCGGACTCCTCTGGCAAGATGACCACCTCATTCTGGGGCACGTCTGAGAACACCTGGGCTCTGGCGCAATATTTGAGTCAATTCGTGGTTTCGAGTTTTCTCAACTGAAACACGCAGAGGGAAGTGAAGCGGCTTGTGTTTCAAGTTGGCCAAACATTCTGACCAGCTGGGGTTCTGTGTTCATGTCCAGTGTCTCAGGGGCGTGAACCTATGGTCCGTGTTTCATCTCCGAAGTGGGATTTGGCTATTTGCTCGTTTCCTAGGCTCTGGTTGGGCCCCAGCCTACTGAACCAAAACTCTGGGGCCGACCCAGTGCTCTGTGTTCCAACGATCTGCCCAGGGGAGTCTGAGTTTGAGAACCCCGGGTGCAGACGACCCTGTCCCAGGCATCGGCCGTAAGAGTCAGCCCAGCGTTGTCTACTGGAGGGACTCCCACAACAAATGTGCTTCATTACCATCTGACTGAGCCCCTACGACCATTTCCAGGTATTTCTGGGTACAGTTACTTTTTATCTTCAACTTGAATCAACACGCAACATTTTGAAAGACACTCTAAATAGCAATTAAGCCCTGGCTGGTTTGGCTCAGCGGTCAGAGCGTCAGCCCTTGGACCGAGGGGGTCTCAGGTTTGATTCCCGGTCAAGGGCACGTACCTGGGTTGCAGGTTCGATCCTCAGCCCTGGTTGGGGCTCTGCGGGAGGCAACCAATCGATGTGTCTCTCTCTCTCTCTCTCTCCTCCCCCCTTCCATTCTATCTAAAAATCAATGGAAAAATATCCTGGGGTGAGGATTAACAACAAAATAGCAATTAAACTCAATATATGTAGTTCTAAAAAACGCACACAGCTCTGCCGAAGTGACAAAAGTGACGAAAATGTGCTCGACCACGATCCAATTCGTTCACAGGTACAGAGAGCACTCTGTCTGTGCGTGCCCATTGGCTGACAGCAGTATCGTCCATTCTTAGTGCGTCTCCATGTGAGACATCTTAAATGTATCTCTGGACTGATGTGTGTCCAGGTTCAGCTACTTCCTGTGTGTGTGACCTCAGGCCAGTTATGTCACCTCTTTGAGCCTCAGTTTCGTCCCCTGTACGTAGAGATAATCCCTGTGCCCGCTTCATAAGATTCTTGTGCAGTTTAATGAGAGACTCAGAAGCATGGATGTGGCCATGGTCGAGTCTATAGCTGAACAGAACTGGGCACCAAATTCTCAAGGGGAGTTCGATCAAGACCCAGGCGACCAACTGTCCCTGTTTGCCTGGGACAGAGGGTCACCAGGACAAAGGCTGTTCAGTGCTAAACTAGGATGGCTGGTCACGCTATCATGACTTCCCAGCTCTCTGCTCTACAAATTTTGAACAAAAAGAAGGCTGGAAGGTGTGTGTGTGGGGGTGGGGTGGGGCTTGGGAGTGGCCAGGTCCTTCGCAGAGCCCAGCGCCCGGAGTCCTTGAGGTCCTCCAGGGAGGTAAGTGCAGGGATCATCTTGGAGGTGGGTCTAATCACACATTACATGTGAGCCATCCCAGGGTAGATGGCTCCTAAGTCTCACCTCCACCAGCCTCAGTTTCCTTACCTGAAAAATGGGGCTAATTCCCATTCCCAGCTCCTCAGGCTGTCAGGAGGATGAGAGATCAGGCATGTAACATCGTTATTGCCGTTGTCGTTCCTTGATTTATACAGCAAATAGTACCACGCACCTGCGTGTCCAGGCAGTGCTCTGGACACTAGGAACACATCAGTGAGCCAGAGGCGAATGTCCCTCTAGTGCCAGTGTGCAGGCAACAGGCCCTTTAAATACCACGCAGCTAAATGCCACGGAGGGGAGAAAGCCGCGAAGGGTACAGGAGGTGCTGGGGGCGTGCAGTGTAAGTAAGGTGATCCCGGAAAACCTCAGTGAGGTGACATTTCACAGGACACGGACACGGAAGCACGTAATTGTTAACACTATTCTGTTGCAGGTGTCTGGAACTCAACAGCCAAGTTGCCCAGTCTTGTGGGAGCCTCCTGGCTGCCTTTAACAGGGTCACCCCCTCTCAGCCCTCCCCCACACTCGGCTTCTCTCCAGGAGCCCCTGTGAACAGTGGACCTGCAGGGACCCCAGGGAAAGCCTTCGGTGGCCTTGATGGTGGAGGGGCTGCTCTGAGCGTGGGTGCGCAGTCTGATGTTGGAGTAGACACTCGTTCCCAGGTGTGAGCGGCAGTGGGTGTGAGTGTGCGTATACAGTCAGAGTGACCTGGGACCCACTTCTGTCTCCACCACTCACGGGCTAGCAGGTCTTCACTAAACCATTCCTCTGCTCTTTGCTTTTGCCAGTAAAATGGGGTGTCAGAAGTGACCTGCAAGCTTAGACCTTCCTGCTCTAGCAGAAACCCGACAGGCCAATCGGATCTGCTTGCCCTGAAATGAGGAGTTGGGACGAAGACCCTGCATTTTGGTGTGGACTTTCCTTCTGCAAAAAAGAAGGCAGAGAACTTGGGAGCAAGGGTACCGCGCACACAAACCGTCTTGGAAACTCTTTATTTTGTTTGTAATTATTATTTTTTAAATATGTTTTTATTGATTTATTTAGAAGGAGAGGAAGGGAGAGATAGAAACATTGATGTTAGAGAGAAACCTCAATAGGCTGCCTCCTGCACGCCCCCTACTGGGGAGCGAGCCCACAACCTGGGCCCCTGACTGGGAATCGAACCGGGACCTCTCAGTCCATGGGGTGCTGCTCAGTCCACTGAGCCTCACCAGCTGGGCCATCTTGGAAACTCTTTAAAACGCAGATTCGAGCCAGCAGCTCTGAGTGGGGCTGAGACAGGACTTGTACCAAGATCCCGGGCAGTGGGCATGGTCCTCAGCCACACTCTGAACCCTAAGCATCTGAAATCCTGGGTATATTTCTAGCTTCTGGGGTCAGTCTCTTCGAAATCCAACCGCATCCTCGCCCTCAGTCCTCAGTGACTCCCCATTTCCTCCCAAATAAAAATCCCCTTTTGGGCTTAAACTACTGTAGCCAGAGCAGGAGTCTGTCACAGGCAAACAACCAACGTCCTCTCGGAAATAAAACTAACCGGCACTCGAGTGGGAATTCACTGAACAGGAACAAGCCCCCCAAGCTACAAGTAGGAGGGAGCTTCCTTCCCACTCCCACGCCCCCACCCCACGCCCAGTGCTGGGCTCACTTATTCATTGAGACCTGGTGAGCACCAGTGTGCCAGACACGGACACCAATGGCTTTCTGTCCTTTCTCCCCCTCCTCCTGGTCCAGTGGTTCTCAAACTGGATCATGCACCAGAGACTCTAATGCAGATATTGAGGGTAACACGTGGAGAGCTTTACAGCTGTATTTTCTTTTAAAAACAAGCTTTCTATGTAATTCTTTCTGCATTTCACCCCCGAGAACTCCCGCTCTAGTCCAGCCTAACAGAGCAGTAGCAGTTGTGTGGCTCGGCAGAGGGGCCCTTGGGATTGGATTCCACTGCTAAGCCCTGCTCCCTATCCGTTGATGGCCCAGCCACCTCCTCGACAGTGGAACTGGGCGTGTGTCCCATCTCAGCCAACAGGATCTGGAGTTTCTGGGAAGCACTTCCTCCCTGAGAAAGAGAAGCTGTCCCTTTCTCCATCTGTGGACATGACCAAGGGAAGACTTGAGGCATTACGCAATGGCAGCCATCTTGTCACCA